GGAAAGAGACACTGACCGTGTCATACTTCTGGGATTCATGTATGGTGACGACTAAAAACATCACCTCCATTTAGCCACAGAGTGGGAAATGACTGGTGAGCTTAGCAGGAACTGTTTTGGGGAAGTGATGAGGTGAAACTAGGTTGGGGTGGGCTGAGAAGTGGATGAGAGGTGAGGAAATGGGACTGTATTGCTACTTTGGAGCATTTCTGCAGGGATGAGGCAGTTCATCTGTTAAAGGGAGAGCAGAGAGCAGTGAGGGTTTCAAATAGTGGTGAGTGAGCGGGCAAGTAGATGACAGGCGTGAAGGCCCTCTGGGCCCAACAATGTCCTCAGCCAGGGATCACCAGAAACACACCTGCAGTCGTCGGAATTGGGTTATTACTCATCCCAGCCAGGGAGACTATTACCACGGGCAACCTCAGTAAAGGGACGTGCAGAGGACTTCCAACATTTGGGTCTGTGTTAGTTGATTTGGGGAAACATTTAAGGAAGCAGGGCTTTGCTCTGGATTGGATGATGCCAGGAGAAGGAGGCAATTCCTTGACTGGATGACTTAATAAATCGTATCTCAAAGGCAGGAAGACTAGAGAAAGCCTAAACTTGAAATTTGTAAAGAAGCAGCAGTCACTCTTATTGGCCAAGACAGAAGGATGTTTGGTCACTTTTGTGGCTTGGCCAACGCTCGTCATTTCGTCTGTGTTCAGACATGAAGAGAGGGGCCTCGTTTTTGGCTTGACCGATCATCAGAGCCTGATGTCGACGTTTTATGAACCTGTGTATATTCAACAGAACACCGAGGCCCAGCTGTGTGCCAGGCCAGCTTCCTGACGTCACTGCTCTCTGGAACCTGCCATGGACGCTCCCTTTCCCCTCCCCCCACGTGCCCGGATGGCGGCAGTCGAGACATGCCTCCTCTCCACCCTGCATCTTAAGGGGCCGCTCTATGAGGCTTCGGCTTCTCAATCTCAAATTGGCCAGGGATGGAGGCCCACAGTGGTGGTGTGAAGATGAAGGGACAGAACGGATGTGAAAACCCCATAAAGCCTTCCGGGCCACCAGGGCTCACTACTGCTGCCCTCGAGCTCAGACATGTCTATCTGGAAGGGCCTCCTTGGAATCGGACGCCCGTGCCCAGGAAGAGCAGGAGGGGCCCGGGACGGGCGTCCGAGAGAAACACTGCACCGTCCACGGCGCGTAAGCCCTGGCGTCCCGCGCATCCGCTCGCGCAGCCGGCGACGAGTAGACCTGTGCGCGTGCGCGCCGCCGCCCCGCCCCCTCACCGCCCCGCCCCCCCGACGGCGCGCAGGCCGCCGGGGCGGCTGGGCCACGCCGCGCGCCGATTGGTGGCGTTCCGGGCCCGCCTTCGGGTGATTGACGGCTCCCGGGCCGCCACCGCCCAGCAGCCGCAGCAGCATCAGCCGCCGCCGCCGCCGCCGCCTCCGCCTCCGCCTCCGCCTCAGCCGCAGGGTGTGGAGCCCGCCGCCGCTCGCGGGCTGCGCGTCTGCCGCCGCCGCTGCTGCCGCCGCCTCCCAGCTTCCGCCATGGACCTGTTCGGGGACCTGCCGGAGCCCGAGCGCTCGCCGCGCCCGGCTGCGGGTAAGCGGGTGGCCGCCCGGACGGTGAGGAGAATGAGGGCGGGCGGGCGGCGGCCTGGAGGCCGCGGCGCTTGAGAAGGCGGCGGGGACGCGGGAGGGTGAGCGCGGCCTGCACCGGCGCGGGGAGCTCGCGGTCTCCGCCATGTTCGCTGCGCAGGAGGAGGGGACCGCGGCTCGGGGACCTTTGTGTGCGGCCCACACGTGTGGCCGCCGCGGCCCGCGCACAGCCGCCGCCGTCCCCTCACGGGAGCGGCGCGCCGGGTCCGCCGGCCTGCGTCCGAACAGCTCGCCGTGTGGGCCGCGTCGTTCCGGGCGCGCTCCCAGTTCTGCGTTTTCTTCGGCTTTGTTTTTCGTCTCTACCCCGGAGATGGAAGTGATCGCCGACTCAGTCCTTGTGGTTGTGAGGCCCAGAAGAGAGGATTCATTCTCTCTGCTGCTCTCGTCGGATCTAACGATTCATGGTAGTTTTTGTGCTTTCCGGGGCCCCGGGAAGTGCCCGCTCTCCCCAGAGTGGAGGGCATTAGCCCAGGCCCGCTCCCCTGCCGGCCCCCGACCTCGGCCGCTGTGCCAGGTCCTTCCTGGAGGCTGGGGTTGGAGCTGCCCACGGCAGCAGCGCGGGGACCGCACGGTTGGTCCTGTGTGTCCAGCGGGTGACGGCCACGCCAGGTTGAGGTTGGCAAGACCTGTGAATGTGTTCACGGGCTAGGTACGCAGCTGGGTGCTGTGGTTTAGGGCTTTCTTTACGAGCCCAGCTTGGTGGCAGAAAACGTGGAAAACTCTAAAAACGCCTTCAGACTCCAGGCTCACCTCAGCGCCGGGTCTCAGTCTGAAAGCCTGCGGGGGGCGGGGGTCCCGCGTCTGCGGTAGGGGATCCGCGGGCGATTTGGGACCGCCTGGCGCGGGTCTGGAGAGCCTGGTTCGGGAACTCCCGTTGTAGTAGGGGAAGGGGAAGGTGACTGATGCCCAGCCTTTGCTTTCCAGGAGCCTAATTCTGAACGCAAGTGATTAAAATTGAACATGGCTAAGGTTAACGCCTGTGGGAAACGCTGAGTGTCCAGAGGAGCGACGTTTGTAGTCCGTGGACAGAGAGTGTGGGGAAGGAGGTGGTGCTGGAATCTGGCCTCTCGGAAGATGGGTAGACTTGGGATTTGTAGAGACTGTAGGCAAGGGGACGGTATGCTCTTTGGGGAACGTTTCGTTCTCTAGTTGGCCTGGGCGTACCAGCGTGGAGGGCTACTGTGACATGGGGCCCTAAAAAAAGGCCCCCAGAGAAGGGGTTGTTGTGCCCTCCATGGGGCCTGGATTCTGGCTTGTCACACGTGGACCACCAGGCTGGCCAGTCTTTGTCGGTCCATTATTCCCAGTAACGGTGCCGTGACTTTTCCCTACCAAACATTCATCTTGTGGGTTTTTCTTAGATTTGTTTTCTAGGTTGTTCTAGGTGCGGGTGAAAACTCTGGCTTGTGTATGCACTCTTCCTTACTCTGCTGATGGAGTATAACCTCTGTCTGAATATGTTTGGGGCAGCGTTTGGATTCGCAGATGTGCCTGTGGGCCTGTCATTTTCTTTCTTTGCGGTATGCGGGCCTCTCACTGTTGTGGCCTCTCCCGTTGCGAAGCACAGGCTCCGGACGCGCAGGCCCAGCGGCCATGGCTCACGGGCCCAGCCGCTCCGCGGCACGCGGGATCCTCCCAGACCAGGGCACGAACCCGCCTCCCCTGCATCGGCAGGCGGACTCTCAACCACTGCGCCACCAGGGAAGCCCCTGTCATTTTCTTGAATCGAAAAGGGACCCTTGAAACGATACAAAACTTGACAACTCTTATAGGTTGGTGCTTGGGAGGGCATATCCAGCCCTGGCTGAGATGACAGGGTGGCAGGGGTGCTGCATGAAATTTAAACGCCCCCTTCCCTGAAGCGTGGATTCGTGAACTGCTCCCTGCCTTTGGGGAGGGCACTGACACTGTCCTGCTTGGCTGAGTGTCCTGCTTGGCTGAGTGTATGTTTTTAAATAGCCTTAAAAACAAAGAAGGCACGCTTTCTGAATTTGTAGATGACAGAAAGCTGAGAGGGATAAGTACTAAAGTGAGTGACAGACTCGGGACCCAAAGTTGTCTTGACAGGCATTTAGTTCAAACCAACAAGGTGAGTCTTAACAGGTTAAAAAAAATCATTTGAACAAGAACAGAATCTGATTTCACAATTTTGTGGAAATGCTTTGATTTTTGAAAACTTAATTCAAAACGTCATACTTTTTGTTTCCGAAAAATTGATCATATTGATTGACAAAATTAAACGTAGAGAGAATGAAAGGAAAATAAAGTTGGTTTCGTGAAGTGGATGGAGAGATGAGGCTAAATCGCACCATCATGACCCTCACAAAAGATGTGCAGGTGCCACCAATTTCTGAGCTAATTCAGGGAACAATAAAAGACCTAGGCACTTTCACAGTCCCCAGAAAGAGTTGTTCCAGACATGTTATCAGACTGTGTGATTTCTGATCCCAACTCTGCTCTTGCTGTCTTCTGTGGCAGTTCCTGCTTCTGGGAAACATGAATGTTGCCTCCTCCTGTTAGCCCACAGGTTAGAAAGGGCGCTGTGTGTACAGTGTTTAGCACAGGTAGAGCACGAGGTCTGCGCTTACTAGATGCTAGTGCCTAGTAGATGCTATTCTGTGAGTTAACTTTCACAGCCATTCAAAAGGGGGAAAACATGCACTCTTAAATGGATTTTGTGAAGACACTAAGTGTCCAAAGGGAGGAAGCATCACACTCCTCAGATCACATCAAGTGTATTTTATTCAGTTGTTTGATTTTTGTTTTAAACATTACATCTAATGTTCCTACCCCAAGCCTCTTAATTTTTATGGTCTGAAGAAAAATGTGGAAAGAACGCATTAAATGTTTTCAGATTTTGTGCTAAATTAGGAGTTTTCATACCAGCCCCTAACATGTTTTGACTGCTGAGTGAAATCAGGTTTTTTATATACAGTATACATAGCTTACCTTAATAAGGGAGTATGTTTGTTATTATCAGATAGAAATGGAATTTCTCTGGTACATCATACTCATAAAAGTGCTGACTTGATGTCTTTAAAGATTGACAGCTTGCATTTGGCAGTCCAAACAGGTTAAAGGTGTCCTGGTTTAAAGTTGTTTGGGCAGTAACCTGGTTTCAGTTTTATAGGGTGGTTCTTTCACTACACCAGTAAACTTTAAAGCTGATGGTCAGCTGTCAGGGACTAAATAAATATTTGCTTGGCAGGCCATCTTCAAAATATTTCCTTTTAGAAAATTGGAGATCTAAATATAAAATAAAGGCTAAGATATTAGAAAAAACTTGGACTAATTGTAAAACTTCAGGGTTAATAAGAAAAAACTCAAGTCATAAAAATTAGAATGGATTTAGCTATGTAAAAATAAAAAGTTTCTGCAGGCAAAACAGCACAAAGGCAAAAGACAGACTGAGAGAAAGTGGTTGTGGTACACATTAGTAAAGGTTACTATCCCTAGTAAGGGAAAGGTGCAGATAAATTAATAAGAAAAAGAGATGACGCATTAGAAAAATGGTCAAAGGATGTGTCCTGACAGTTTATAGAGGAAGAAATGCAAATGACCCATCAACCAGATGCTCAGCTTCCTCCGTCACTGGAAAGGAATAGCAAATCACTGATGTGCCATATTTTTCACCCATCAGATTTAAAAATTGGCAAGATGGTAATGAGGGTGTAGAGAAATGGATATTCTCATAAAGTGTGTTGGCGGTGAAAGTTACCACAACTATTTTTGGAACAAATTTTGGCATTTTTCAGATTTATTTATTTACCCTTTGACCAGCAGTTAGCAGATAAAATAAGGATATAAGCCTAGGGTTGTTTATTGTGGCATTATTTGTAATGTGAAAAACCAGAACCATGCTGCGTGCCCATCAGTAAGGGAACCAGACCAAGCAAGTGGCAGTGCTTCCCATAGAGAATAGTGTGCGGCTGTCGAAGCGAATCGTCAGACCCAGTGTGATGGCTTTTACATGAATAATGATATATGTAGAGTGTTGTGTATAGTATACTTCTACCTTTTAAAAATTAAAATGCACATACACAAGTTCATGAGCATAAAGGAAAGTGGAACGTATACAATAAACTGTTACGGTGGTTGGGAGGCGGGGCCTTTTTCTAGTATGTCCGTGGTATTTGGAAAACATGTACAGTAGTCCCTCAGTATCTGTGGGGGATTGGTTCCAGGATCCCCTTCGGATACCAAAATCCGAGGATGCTCAAGTCCCTTACATATCAATAAAATGGCCTAGTACAATGGCCCTCCGTATCCACAGGTTCCACATCCTCGGATGAGGAGGTCAGCTGTGTCACATTTGTAGTTGAAAAGAAAATCCAGGTATAAGAAGCAACTTAGGCAAAATATTTAAAAGCTTGTTGTTGCTTTACTGTATGTAGCAACTTATAGCTAATCTGAATATAATCAGCCCAAGAGTATTGTTCTCAGCATAGTATGTAACTTTCAGTAGACTTAGCTTCAGAATGTAGGTAACTTTAAAAAAAAAAAAAAAACCTAGATAAGATTATCTGTAGTGAAAAACTTGTTTTCTGTCTTGTTTCTTTCTTTATGAGAGTTCTTATATTTAGAACTCAGGGGCCTCTTCCAAAGTTTAGGGTCGAGGTCACACTTGGTCCAACGATTGCAGCCCCAAATACTTTGAATTACTATTTATCCAAAACAGAAGGTAAGGTTCTGGCTATAAAGTTCCCTTTATAGCATCTGTGACCTACAGATTGTTGTTAAAGAATCCAGATGCAAGCTGTTGTTAAAGAATCCAGATGCAAGCTATTCTAACTCTGACCCTTTTGATGATGCAAAAAGGTGTTCCAGAGATCTTAGAGAGCCTCGGGATTCTCCTTGTGGGGTTGTGTAAGGGTTAAATGAGATGATCCTTGTGAAGTTCCTAGAACAGTGTGGGGTGGGGGCACGTCGCCAAGAGCATGGGCTGGGAAAGCAGGCTGCCTGGGTTTGGATCTCCACTCCTCACTGGCTCTCTCTTGGACAGTTATTTAACCTAAGTGCCTCAGTTTTCTTATCAGTAAGTTACAATAATAATAGTACCCACCTCATAAGATTATTGTAAGGATTAAATCCGTTAAAATTTGTAGAGCACTAGAATAGTTCCTGGCAGGCAGCGAATGTTAATTATCATTTATATAAGCCATTTTCAGTTGTGGCCAACAAAAATATGAGATGATCTCATTGTGTTTAATTGAAATACCACTCACAGTATTCCAGAGTGACAGAGGAGAGGAGAGGCTCATTCTATTCAGCATGGGAAGATAAGCCCTTCTCTGGGGCTGGTGGTAGGTTTGGGGAACTGACTTAGACTGAGTTGTCACCAAAGGAGAGAGGCCAGGCTAGTGCTAAGCTGGAAACTCTATTATGAGGAATGCTTGCCAGGACCGAAAATGTATTACTACCTGGGTAAAAGAGGACTTCGCCCCATTGGACATTGGATTTGGAAAGACCTGATTTAGATGCGTAGTTTAATTAGAAAATTAAAATCGGACCCTGCGTGAGTAGAAGGGTTGATTGTCTTCAGGTTGGCCTCCTCCCTGTAATGTCCCCCTCGCCCAAGATGCCTGGCGCTCAGGCCCCGCTGAATCCAGTGTGATTGTTCGGAGTCATCCCTTTCAGTTTTGAGTCTGTTGGAATGGGCATGTTGATGCTTAGACCAATACAGTTTGAGTTTCCCTTGGAAGTGGCTTGCTAGAATATTAGCAATTCTTGTAGGAGGATTAATATGGTGAGTAAATGGTTATCCTAAATGCCCTTGAGTGTCCTCCTAATGCTGTTTTTTGGATACTTCCCACAGAGTCTTTATGTCACTTGTGAGAAAAATGAAAGTATTTGTAATTACTTAATGTCTTTAGGGTAATCCTAAGGGATAAAACTGTAATTTATGGAGTAGACATTTCCCATTTGCATTAGGGGTATAAAGCAGAAGAGTTGCTTTTTGTTAAATTAGGAAAATTACCAGGTGTTTCATGTACTTCTGACCTAAAGACTCCTGAAGAGATTTCCTTTCTCGGAGTTTATAAATTTTAATTAAAATTTTTACTTTTTTAAAAAAGTAAAATTGATACCCAGCTCATTTCTAGGCAGAAGGACAATATGGATGAAACTTTTAGAGCATACACATTGAATTGGTTTTTATTTTTATTTTTTTAAGAGGGTATTAAATTGTTTATTTATTACAAATGATAATGGATGATACACAAGCTTCATTCCCATCTATATCTGGTACCATAATCCAATTTAGATATATTGCATAGGATGTGCCAACAATCATATATTAATAATCAAAAAACTCCATGACTTGGCTTGGGTGACCCTTTTCACGGTGAACTCCAGGTCACAACGCAGTAACTGTCAGTTTAACTACACCAAAGTTTCGGAAGACAGTAGCTTCTCCACCAAAGCAGGTTGTAAATAAATTTTGAATGGAACCTGGCATCACCCTGAAGGAATACTAACTTCACACTGTTGGGGTAGTTTACCAAAATGGCTTCAGGGTAGACTAACTTTACACAGCACATTCAAAAAAAGGACACATTTATTCAGCGTCATGATCAGACTATTACATTTAGCAATCAACAGCATGGGTGCAAAAAAAAAAAAAATCTACATTAAAACCCTTTGTTGGAATGCTTTACACTTTCCACAGAACAGAAACTAAAATAACCTGTTATACAATTAGTCACAAATACAGTCCTCGAGCTTTTTTGCCCATACATATGAGTATTGTCTAAAACATGTCTTCTTTGTAGCAGCTAGGCCCTGCCACCACTGTGCTTGGCTGACTTCACAAATCTCTTGTAACCTGTAGCTTCCCTGTCACTTCTCTGGCTCTCCTCTCCTGCTAAGCTTTGTTTCCTGGCAGTAATCAAAACCTACTGCCACTGCCATAGCTACTGCTGCTGCTGGAACCACCACAGCCACCTTGGTTTCGGGGTTTGGCAAACTGTTGGCCTCCACCACCACAGGGGCCAGAACTTCTGCCTCCAAAGTTTCCTCCTTTCATGGGTCCAAAATTTGAAGATTGATTGTTGTAACTGCCAAAATCATTGTAGCTTCCACCACCGCCAAAATTGCTTCCCTCATTACCAAACCCATTATAGCCATCCCCACTGCCACCATATCCACCACCACCGCGGCTGCCACCAAAGCCACCTCGACCACTGAAGTCTCCTCCACGACCAAAGCTGTCATTCCCACCGAAACCACCTCCACGACCACCACCAAAGTTTCCAGAACCACTTCGACCTCTTTGGCTGGATGAGGCACTAGCCATCTCTTGCTTAGGTAGGGCTTTCCTTACTTCACAGCCATTCACAGTGTGGTATTTCTGAATGACAATCTTGTCTACAGAGTCATGGTCATCAAAGGTTACGAAAGCAAAGCCTCTCTTTTTACACTGCCTCGATCAGTCATGATTTCAAACACTTCAGTTTTCCCACACTGTTCAGAATAATCTCTTACATGATGTTCTTCAGTGTCTTTAATGCCACCAACAAAAATCTTTTTCACAGTTATGTGGGCACCAGGTCTTTGAGAATCTTCTCTTGAGACGGCCCTCTTTGGTTCCCCAACTCTTGCATCCACCTCGTGTGGCCTTGCCTTCATGGCCGCACCCACCTCCTCCACAGTGGCATATGTGACAAACCCGAAGCCTCTGGAGCGTTTGGTGTTTGGATCCCTCATTACCACACAGTCTGTGAGCGCTCCCCACTGCTCAAAATGCTCCTCAGACTCTCATCGGTTGTTTCAAAGCTCAAACCTCCGATGAAGAGCTTCCGCAGCTGTTCGGGCTCTTTGGGTGACTCTGACTTAGACATGACAACAGTGGAGGGGGGAGGAGACGTCAACGATGCTTACTCTGTGGCGTCCACGAGCAGAAAGGAGTAGTCTACCGAACGTATCTCTGAATTGGTTTTTAAATGAGTACGTTTCTGTACTTGAACTCAGAGGAGAAAGATCAGTGTGTTGAACTTCATAGGACGTGGATGTCCACACCTTCATCTTTAGCCCTCTGTTTCCCCACGTTCCTGTGGGCCAGTTCATGTATTTCATAGCTTCAATAGAAATTTTGGGGAAAGCTGGAGAAGGAATAATGGTTACATTTTATGTGGAAAGGGATACTTGAGTATAAAACATTTCAGATAAGTACTTTTGGTAGGTAAATCTTTAGATTTTTTTTTTTTTTGTGGTACGTGGGCCTCTTACTGTTGTGGCCTCTCCCGTTGCGGAGCACAGGCTCCGGACATGCAGGCTCAGCGGCCATGGCTCATGGGCCCAGCTGCTCCGCGGCATGTGGGATTTTCCCGGACCGGGGCACGAACCCGTGTCCCCTGCATCGGCAGGCGGACTCTCAACCACTGCGCCACCAGGGAAGCCCAATCTTTAGGTTTTTAGTTAGAAAGTTTCCTAGCTTTCTCCTGAGTTTACCTTGGAGTATCTGAAATCCCTCATTTTCTTCATAGATATTTATTGAATTGGGCACTGTGCTGTTAAGGCAGATTGGCTTCCCTCAGGCCTCTCACCATCTCTGTGCTCCGTTTAAGATTCTCCCTGGTGGTTAATTCAGAATGGTACTGAAATAGGATTTTTAAGACCTGTAGATCTTTGAAGAGTCCCTTTATCTCTGAAGTTCTGTATTGAGGTACCAAGATAGAATTATTGTTTTGCTCTAGAGTCAGTTTTTTCTTCCCAGGATTAACTTTTAAAGAAAGATTTTAAAATATTTGTTCAACAGTGAAATTATCAAAAAAAAATACTTGTTTCCCTCAAAACACCCAATAGCCCTTAAAACGCCTCTTGGGTCATCTTTCATTGCTTGCATTATATGTTGGCTGTAACTTTTTGGAAACAAATGTCCGTATTAAATGGCTGTCAAGAAAATATTTTTAAAAAATAAGCTTTGTCCAGCAGGGGGGAGAAGATTTGATTTAATGGCAAACTTAAAGATGTCCCCCTTTGAATCCCATCTGGCCAATGACCAAATGCTCTCTAAGCAGGTGTTCCGTGTTCTAGGGAAAG